GGTGTCACCCTTTGTGAGGAATGAAGAAATGGACCATGCCTTGGCGCTTGCCCCGGTCCCACCCCCTTCTGCCAGAGACCCTCAGATCTGTCCCACTCCTGCCCAGGCCCCCACAGGCACCCTTGACACGAACGATGTAGAGCTGGCCATGCCCACCCAGTAGGCCACACCCACTCCATCCACGCCCACCCAGTAGGCCGCACCCACCCTGGCCACATACCCCCGCCCCCTCCGAGGGCAACCGCAATGCTGATGCGGCCCTCAATGAAATTGAGTTTGACACCCCTGCTTTAGGCCAATCACTCACTCTTAGCCCAAACCACTTATGTATATTCGCCACTTTGAGTTACTTATAAACTAAAGGTGGGATAAATATCTAAAAAATAAAACAAAATGAATAAACATTATGCAGCACAGCAACCAGTTTGTCCCCTAAAGGACACTAAATGTTTATAAACACCACAAATTAGATGCCCAAAAGGAGGAAATCAGAAACCAAGTAGCCTTTTGTTCCTTTTCTTTTTAAACTTGTTCTTGTCTTTTTGTTGCTGTTTAACTCGTTTTATTATTTTTTAACATGCAGAAACAATAAGTAACAGTGGAGACCTTAGCATTAAGCGTTCAGCTTAAGACAGAAGTATTTTGATGTAATTTACAGGGGTTTATTAATGTTCTACTTAGCTTTGGATATAAAATTTAAAGAACCTTATGCTTGTTAAAATAATTTCAAATAATAGTGAACACTGATATGAATCATTTTTCCTCTATCCTGAAAAGTCATTATCATTAGAATATTAATAATCTCTAGTCAATACTTACAATATTATAAAACATATTTTTAACTCTAAAAAACAAACAGGCATGACAACAGAAGAGAATCCATTCTTTATCAAATGGCAAATACTCCTTGGTCCAGCCTTCCCTAGTCGAGTCCTAGACACTACCTTAAAGTCACCAGGATTTCTTAGCTAGAAATATCTTTTTGGCATTAAGAGAGCCATAACAAGAACTTTGTGAGGCTGGCTGTGCTGAAAATGGAACATCCAAAACCACCAAAGGAGATGTGATGTGGCAATTCAAATCCGATTCTCACCAATCTGAATTCAACATTTTAACCTGTGTATCACCCTGACCT